TTTAAGCCTTCAGGTCCGGGACTCGAACCATGGTCGACTACGTGGGAGTCCAGCGACATAGCCATTACGCTAACTGCTGGTCCCCCAGTTTTTTAATATCTTACAACAAAAGAAATACATATAATCAGCTATCTGATTGAATGAGTCTTTTCAGGTTTATTGTTTTGTTTTATTTGAGTTGCTATAAAACACATTTTATATTTTACAGTATACAGAAATGTCCTTCCACTCTATATACATATCTTGGGGGAGAATTCGAATACATTTAATCTCTCCCTGGATCATAATTTGATTACCATATTTATTCTTTTCAGATATTATTTTTAATTCTCAAAGATAGGTAATACACCATGGATTTAAATTTCAGTAGCCCTTGAGTAATAATTGAGTTTTTCGAAGGACTCTCTTCTAGTGAGAAAAGAGTACAGGTAGGTTTTTACAATTGCCAAGGTAGTTCTTCCTTGAACAAGGACAGCTACAGCTAAAGTTGATACTCTCCAGAAAGACATTAACCGATTAAAAGTAATACCGTCCTTAAAACCTTTAAGAATAGAAGCATGTTCATTGCAGTAACTTGCTTTTAGGGTTCCTGTTTTGTCTTACTTCTTTTTTCTTTCAGCATGCTGCCATCTTCTGGCCAAATTGTATCACTTTACACACACCGAAGAGATCAGCAGCACAGGGCGAATCCAGAGTAATAAATCCCCTTCTGCCATTAGGAATCACGCATTTAAGAGGTGCGCCTCTTCTGCACCGTATCTACACCTGACCACATGTTATGCGTATAGCATAGTCATGAAGCCAGCCAGCAGCCAGTGTTTACCGTGTGAATCCTCACACAGTGAGACCCACTGGATGAGTCGCTCGGTAAGAGCTAGGCTCGGATATTAGCCGCAGAGAGCCCCCACGCTGCTTCAGTCACCTGGAGACCTCTGTGGGGGGAGGCAGGGAGCCACATTCAGAGCTGTGCATGATGTCACCTACAGAAGGCGCCCCCTTTGCTGGTTGCGAATCCATACACCGAGTCACTCCTCATGGCTCGCACTGTCTCCTCCCTGCCTTCTTTCTCAGCATTCCCAATGCTCTATCATCACAAATTTACACATTCTATTCCGACTGCATTTCCCTTCCCGTATTCAAAAATCGCCTGATTCAAAAGGTTGGTCCCAGGCAGGAAGAAAAGGAAGGCACGCCAAGTTTCACAGCTGCCCGTGAGGCGGAGGGCCACCGTGCTCCTTCCTAGCACACTGAATTGCTTACTCAGGGGCTGCGGAGGAGGGGCGCTGGTCAGCAAGTCCTCCCAGTGTGGCTTCACGTCACCCACAGTGCCCCCTGTTCTTCCCATTATTAAAAGAAAACAAGTAAATGATCACATGTGGTTTTGAATGGTGTTCACCAGATAATGTGAAAGTGCTTTCCGGATTCTTTGCAACAAAAAGAAAACAGGAGCCACTCACAGACCTTATGCTTAAGCCATTCACGTGACCATTTCCTCACAGTCAACCATTGTCTCCACCAGAAGATGCTCCTAAAACCACATGGGGGCAGCTTTTCTTCTTTTTGGTGCCTTTTCTCAAAGCAATCATTGGAACAGGACAGTTTGAACTTTTTCAGGTTTTACACTTACAAAACTACTAGAAGAAAATCAGAAAACCTACAAGTTACCAGAACAAGTATCCTAGATCTCTCTCTTCCCTGGATATTTTGGAGCTGATATTGACTGCATATATATTATTTTCTTCTGTGCTTTTTAACCCATGATTAATACTCTGCCAAATATTATTCTATAATATAAACCATTATGTATCTTTATACTCTTCTTTGAATTTGAATGGTGGGTAAGCTTAAAAGTATATAAATTATTTTTTTAATTCTCATTGCATGGCAAAAAAAAAATTAGTTGTTGAAATTTCCACATTGGATAATATATTTAGAGAATCCGGGATGCGGGTCGGCAGTGGTGGTACAGCCATAATACAGTGCTCTGTGATGCTGGGCCTACAAGGGAAGGTTCCAGTTCCCATCCAGAGGATTCAGCATACCTGTACACTCCAGGTGTGTGCATGCTTGTGACTCCTGCTGGCTGTTGCTGGGGACAGATCGTGGTGTGAAGACCCTACAGGGTGTGTCTTTGTATCTGTCTCTCCCTTTCTCTCTGTCTCTCTTTAGGATGATTTAGTATAGCAATAGGCTAAAGAGCTCTGAGACGAAGTCAGCTTGGTCTTTGGCTTGCTGTGTCAGAGAGCAAGTTGAAGGTTGAGTTTGGTGTGGTCCACCGTGGCAGGATCTAACTCTACACCTAATAACACCATTGGCGTTGCTTTCCCATTCTATCGAGACCTATTTCTTTTTTCTTTTTTCTTTTTTTTTTTTTTGGAGAGGTTTTTGCTATGGGATGTGTGTGCTCTCCAGACATAGAGAGACAGAGAGAAAGTGAGAAATCACCCCCCAGAGGGGATGGCCATGCCACAGTCCCTTCTCCTCCATTCTCCTCTCAGGATCTTGGGCACACACACACTTGCGCCCAGCGTGAGTTTAAGCCATAGGGTCCGGGACTCGAACTGCTGTCGACTACATGAGAGTCCAGAGACATAGCCATTACGCTAACTACTGGTCCCTCTATTGAGACCTATTTCAAGATGCTAAATTTAAATATTAGAAATCACAAATGAAAAGAAGATATAGTTCATTTATTCATAGCATTCCCACACATACCTCAAAAGCAGAAAATCCACCTCATGGATCCATATAATTTGTCTTTCATTAACGCTTGTTCCATTTTATTGAAGTCTTTTGAAAACTGATTAAACTTAGATTATATCTTTATAAAGCAATACAAACCTGGAGATTATGCTAAATTTGCCATAAAGTAAACCAATACAGAATTATGAATTTATTCTTAATATTTTATACAGCTGGGCATGCTTGACATATAAATGCAGAGTTTATGTTTTGTTGGCTTTTAGTTTACTGTAGGATGTGCGCTCTCACCAGAGAGAGAGAGAGAAATGAGAAAGCATCTCCTCTGGAAAATGACCATCCTGCAGTCTCTTCTCCTCCATCCTCCCCTTGGGATTTTGGGGTACACCCACATGGATGCAGCAGGTTGTTTAAGTCACTGTCCCAGGAAGGACTGCAGAGTCAGCCAAGTGGGATCCTAACCACCCCATCACTGAATGGCCAGCAAAGTTTGTTTTCTCTTTTCTCTTTTTTTAGTATTTTATGCTAAGCCACTTTTTGAAAAGTTTTCATTTTAATTAAATAATTAAACTAGTCCCTTTTAAAGGTTTTCACAAAGATTCAATGCGTTTATGACAGTAAATCTCTTATCAGAGTGCTCAAGGCCCAGGGAGCCTCCTATCAATATAGCCATTTTTATACTTCAGTTCCCAGAATAAATGAGCTCATTGGAAGTAATACAGAGAATTACTTTCGGTGAATTGAATAGTCTTTTATATAGTGTATTCCCACGTTGCTTAAATCATATGGCAAATTGCTCTTTGAGATCAATCAAATTCTGGTATTTTTTGGACCAGAGTATTAAACACAAAGACACACAACTGAGCGAAACAAGACAATCAAGTTAACTGAGAAGATGAGAATACCGACAGTCCAGAAAGGACGCCCTTGTCCTGCATGTTCTAGAATAAGATAAGGAGCCACCTACAGAGTAAAATTCTCAGAAACATTAACATATTCAGCCTCTGGGAAAACAGAAAGAAGAAGCCCTGTATCATTGGGCACCATCATATTCAAAATGACACTGTGAATTTGGTCATCATCTGGAAGGACAAACATTAAGAAAAAACAAATTTAAGTTTCTTTCTTTATATCCTTCATGAGAATGAACAGACAGGACTCCTCTACCCGGTCTTCACACCACCATCCTCCCCCATCCCTATCACCAATCAGTATGTTTAGAAGGACCCAGAGCGGGCTCACACAGTCTCAGCACCCCTCAGCATTGCCCCTGCTGACAGCGCCACGCAACCAGGCCATCAACAAGATAGAACCCAGTCACCTCTTGGCACCATCTCCAAAACTGTTGTGTGGATTTGGCCGACAGCCCCTTTGCTGCTTTCTGTGTTAGCGCGGTTATTGCTGTTCTCTGAGCCAGCCCTGGTCGGTGCCAGCTGTGGTGTTTGGTGGCATACTAACCATCTTGCCTCATTATGACAATTCCAAAAAGCGCATATCATAAATTATACATATATCTATCATGGTAAATATGTTTCCGTGGCTTCCTATAGCTTGCCACATAGGCTCCTCCTACAAAAGTGTGATGCATTCATGACTGTTTTTAAATGGAGTATCTTATATCCTATTAAGTCTCCTCTTTCTATCAATGGTGCCTTCCTTCGTACTCAAGAAGGCGAAGGCACCCTTGAACACCTAGTCAAAATATGGTCGAAAGTTCATGAACTGCGCTGTGTAACTGTTGTGAGTCAGACACCAGTGAGTGAGCATTCATTTCTCAGCAGAGGAGTACAGACACTTAGAGGAGAGATTTCTGCACGCAGTTGACACTTCTGAAGAAATGCTATCCTTCCACATCACCACAGAAGAATTCGTTTGGACATTGTCCTGGAATGCATTAACTGAATACCAGTCCTCAAACAACACGGCCGTCTGTGTACACAATGCAGCTGGGTGTAAACAGGCCGCTCATGGAAACGATGATCTCTGCACATATTTTTTATTAGTTATGATTAAGAAAAGCATGGTTTTGAACCTTGACTTGAGATTTTTGGGGTCCTTTAAAATAGTCCCTAATACAGGTCAATTTTCCTTATTTGACCCCATTTTTTCAAGCATTTAGTATCTATCTCTTTTCCCATTATCAAAGTTATACACACACACACATCTTTTAAAGAAGTAGCAAGTGAAATACAGCTGATAATCAGTTTTAACTACTTCCCAGTGGGAAAATCTTACAATATTCATCAAGTGTAAGATCTCCCCCTCTATTTTAATGTACTCTTTATCTGCCTCCATCATTTCCTGGTGGATGTATCTGCAAGAGGATTTGGCTCTTGAGAAAGTGCGAAGCTCGTGTCACCACTTTTGTTTTTATTTACCTTTTGCTTTTAATTACTGTACATCCTTACAGCATGCATATTTCCTAGCTCAAATACATTGCATATTAGCCTAGTCCAAGCCATTGCCATACATTCCCATTTCATTTTCGTGTCTGTTAAATATTCTTTCTTCCCTTGATCCCCCTCCTTCCACTCCATTTCTAGTATCTACGGTTGCATCCCCTCATTATTTGCATCTTCCAGCCTTTCAGTCTCTGCCACAGAGTGAAGATATTTGGTATACATTGAGCAGAGATATACAATGCCTGTCTTTAATAGTCTGGTTTGCTTCACTTAATAATAAGCCTCCGTATTTGTCTACATTATATGTCAAGATCTCTTTTTTTTTATGACTGAGTAGTATTCCATAGAGTATACATGCCACATTTTTTCAATCCATTCATCTGCTCTTGGGCATTCGGGTGAATCCTATGTCTTAGCAATTGTAAATAATGCTGTAATAAACATGTATGTGTGAGTGTTTTTCTGATATTGTGTTTTCTTATCCTTTGAGTAGTTAACCAGAGGTAGAATTAAAGGATCATATGGTAATTCTACTTGTAGGTTTTTGAGGAACCTTAGTGTTATTCTATGATAAGAGACGTTGAGCATGTTTTCGTATGCTTTTTTGGTCATTTGTATTCTTCCTTGGAGAGTTGTCTGTTCAGCTCATTTTTCCATCATTTAATCGGGTTGATTATTTATTCACTTATTCATTCATTCATTTATTTAGCAGGTAATAAGCTGCCTGAATTCCCTGTATATTCTGGTTATCAGTCCTTTATCTGAGGCATACTTTTGCAACTATATTTTCTCACTCAAAGGATTGTCTCTTCACCTTATTTATTGTTTCTTTTTCTGTGCAGAAGCTTGTTAGCCTCTGATGTAGTCCCACTTGTCTACTTTTAGGATTATTAACTATGCTTTTGGGGACCTTATTTTAAAAGTTTTTGCCTATCGAGATGTTTCCAAGAGTTTTCCCTTTGTTTTCTACCAGAATTTTATATCAGATCATCAGAAAAGTCATGACGTATTTTTGTATGCAAAAATGTGTCATGACTTTTCCTTAACCCAATAGCTTGAGGCATGTTTAGATTCTTAGTCCATTTTGAGTGGATTTTTGTTAATGGTGAGAAATAGGCATCCCGTTTCATTTTTCTGCAGCTGTATATCCAGTTTTTCCAGCACCATTTGCTGAAGAAATTTTCTTTTCCCCACTGGGTTGTCTTGTGCCCATTGTCAAAAATCAGTTTGCTGTAAGCTTCAGAGTTTATTTCTGAGTTCTCAATTTTATTCCATTGATCTGCTTGTTTTTGTGCCAATACCATGCTGTTTTGATAATCACAGTTTTGTAATATAGTTCGAAGTGCGGTGCCACCTACTTTATTCTTTTTTGCATAGTATTGCATTTGCAATACAGGACCTTTTATGCTTCTAGACAAGATTTATGATTACTTATTTTGTTATTTCTGTGAGAACTATCTCTGGTAGTTTTATTGGAATTGCACTGAATTTATAAGTTATTTTCAGTAGGATTTACATATTAATTATATTAATTATTTTAATCCAGGAACATGAGATGTCTTTCTACATTTTTGGTATCATTTTCAATTTCTTTTAAAAGTTTTTTAAGTTTTCTTTGGAGAGATCCTTCATTTCTTGGGTTTATTCTTAGTTATCATATA